TCAAAAATTTATGGGCAAAGCTGAAAAGGCAAACTGGCTCAGTTCCACCAGTTGTGTCAGGAGGAATGGGCCAAAATTCCTGCCATCTATTGTGAGACGCTTGTGGAAGGAGATCCAAAATGTTTGACCCAATCATACAGTTTAAGGGCAATGGTACTAAATACTAGTGAAGTGTATTTAAACTTTTGGCTTTGAAGAAAGTAATAAAAATTGCCTTAAAAAATTCTCACACATTATTCTGGCATTTTGCAAATAGAAAAAAATTTGTAGAAAAAAAACCCGAGAAAAGTTTATTCAGATTTCACGTCACTGAAAAAAATGCATACCGGTACGTATTTTCAAATAGTGTATGTAAACGTCTGGTTTCAACTGTATGTACATTTTGTATTTTATTTTTAGAATACTAATAAAGTTAGCTTAAATTAAAACTTGTGAATTACTAAATTGGATTGTTTTATGCTGTAAAAGCTCGGTTGTTTGGTCTTTTCTCGCATGTGTGGTTCCTTACATTGTTGTGGTGTTTTATAGGTCATTATTCTCAGTTTATCTCCTCACGCTCACTTTCCTCCATCTCATCAAAGCAGAGCTTGAGTTGATAGGATTTATGTCCTGGATTCTCATCCCTGTAGGGATGAAAAGACTGATTGGCAGTTGAACTGATTAGAGAGCTTCCAAACAGATTGTAAACCCCTCGTGCAACAGGTCACCCATATCCCAAAGGTCAGAGTTAAACAATTAGAGCAGGTACGTAGGAGTAAACATTTAAGCTGCGTGAGGAAGAGCGACATGAATGAAAACCTTTCGGCTAGCAAAAAAAATATGAAATGAAGAAAATATTTGCAGAAAAGTTCAAATCTGCATCATTTGTACCGAATAGTGTTTATTCACCATCTTCTACACCTATGATTACAAAGTTTCACAACTTAAAAGTACCCAAAAAAAGATGAATGACTACAATAGAACAAGTAAAAATATCTATTTTACACCTGTATTGTTAAAATAAAAACAGCACTGGGTCCAGCTTTTGTTGTACATCTGTAGAGGTGCAGCTCCAGATCTGGACCATCAGCTGTGTGTGGAGAGGTCCACCAGCCTGAAAGCCTCCATGAACTCGTTGATGTCGATGCTGCCATCCTTGTTGAAGTCCATGCTCTGGGCCAGGTCTGCGATGGCCTTATCGCTGATTTCCATCTTAAGATGGGAGCTCAGGAGTTTCCAGGTCTGACGGAATTCCTCAAAAGAGATCAAACCTGGAAGAGGAGGTTTTTAAACTGAATATTTTTGAGTCCCGAGTCTCAAAATTTTTTTAACGTTTTGATTGGAAATTCACGAGCTGTTAAACCTCATTAAGTGATCATTTATTGCCAATAAGATAACTAGGACAATTTAGTAAGGTTGATGCTGTTTATACTCACCTGAATGATCTGTGTCTATAATGCGAAAAATGGTTTCCAGGTTGGAGTGGTTTTTGTACATAGTCTCCAAGATACTCGTATCTGACACCTGCTCGGAAATTAGAACATGTAAATTTGAGATTATGACTTAGCAAGGGAATATGATGAGAAAAACAAAAGCACCTCTAGTTTGGGCTCAGTGATGGACAGCTCTCTGATCCACTGCTGGTAGTTCACCATCCCATACTGGGTCCTGCTGACAAGCTGAGGGCGCAGCATCCTCCAAGGCAGACCCAGCTTCAGGATGCTTTCTGTAGCGGTCGCCCAGTGCCTCAGAGAGATCATCCCTGAAAACCAGGCAGAATATACTTGTTCATGTTCTTCATACTGGTGGATGTGGAAGTAAAACATAAAAAAAAGCTTGCTGCGGTTGTTGTACCTGTTTTGTTTGGATCAAACTCTCTGAAGGCGCTTATGAGGTCTGACTTGTGTACAAACAACTGCTCCTTCAGAGCTCGCAGCGCTGACCTCTCCGTCCAGCTGACACTGGTTTACAAAGACAATAATTTCATTAAGCATTTTAAGCAACTGTAAATTCTCTAAATTGACTTTCCAGGTGTACACCTCTGTCTCAAGGTGAGCTCTCTGCATGTCCTGCTGGCCTGGTACTGGATGCAGTGGGGGACCAGGTCTGGGCCCATTCTGATGTACGCGCCTCTGTTACTGCCCACCTCATAGTAGTTGGAGGCTGAAAATATTGTCAGCACCTGTTTGTAACAGAAGGTTTTCAGCCTTTTCTCCATATTGAACTCTCTCCCCTTCAGAAACTGTGCTGAAAGTGGGTCACTTTGGGCTCACCTTGCGATTGTGACAGAACTCGTAGCCATCCTGTTTGCACTCATGGGAGCGGATAAGAAGCTGGAGGTTGTGTCTTCCCAGCACCTCCTCGGTGACATCTGGCCCCCAGTAGCAGCCGCCTCCTCGCACCTCATTGGGGATGCAGCCATTCTGTGGCATTGGATCGCTCCACAACAGGTCCATCATCTGGAGGGTTAGAGTCACAGCTCGTTGTGAAATACAGCAATGTGCCAAATGATTGGGTCCATTAACAGATGTCTGGTCATTTCTTAATTTGAATACTCTTTCTTCTTGTCTTGTCAACTCCAACATGAATGTAAGTGATGTCAACACAGCAAGATCAATGTATTCACCTCCGCAGTTCTGAAGATCTCAAGAGCATAAAGCAACTGAGTTCTGGAAGATTAGTTGGAAGTCAAAACAAACCAGCAAGAGGAAACTGTGTTTCTTTATAAGAAACAGATCCTGTCTAACTCTGAATGCTAGGAAACACCTTGTAACTGTGACTTTCTTTCCCTCCATTGATTACGGTGACATTATTACATGAACGCTCCTACAAGCACCCTGCAGATGTTGGACGCTGTCTATCATGGTGCACTAAGATTCATAACTGACTGTAACTATCGTACCCACCACTGCACCCTGTATTCACTGGTTAACTGGACATAAGTAACTTCACGCAGACTCTCTCACTGGTACATTTTCATCTTTAAATCACTTCTTGGTCTGCTGCCTTCATACATCTCCTCCTACATGTCTCTGAGTGAGTGCAGCTACAGCGTGCGCTCTCAGGACATTATTACATGCAGTGTCCCCTCAGTGCGGACTGAACTTGGCAAAAGGGCCTTCTCCTACTCCGCTACTGTTTCCTGGAATACCTTGCAAAAAGATCTGAAGCTCTCGACCTTGACCTCTCTAAGTGGCTTTAAACATCTGTTAAGTTCCTGGCAAAAACCAATGCGGACCTTCCTGTTTTTACTTTTCTACACCGCCTTACAACCTAGCTGGTTTTTTTTTTGGTTACTTTTTTTTAAAATACCATTTTATTTTCACTTATTCTCAATTTGTATGCATCATTTACGATTGTCTAATGTTGACTTTGATGACTACTGTTGTCATCACTCTTTGTTAAAATCAGGTCTCTCTTGTAAATGAGTCCCCGAGGCTCAATGGGATTAACCTGTCTAAATAAAGGTTGAATGAATGAATGAAAAGAGTCAGTCAGTAAATTTAGCAGATTGTCTGATAAACAGAACTATATAAAGAAAAATGTGGGCTTAAAAAAAATAGATATAGATGTTTTACAACTGTGACAGACTTGCGACCTGTCCAGGTTGTCCCCTGCCTCTCGCACAGTGACTGCTGGAAATGGGCACCAGTGATCCCCGTGACCCAAAAAGGAAGAAGTGGGTAAAAGATAATGGATGAATTGATGGATGTTTGACAAGTCATCAAATACATAATGGGCTTTTAAAGATGTTGCAGTTGTCTATAATCTTTATAGTCCCCAAACCTAAAAATCATTGGAAAAATACTGAAACAGAAATCAAAGTAATTTTGCAGGATGAATGGGTGAATATGAAGATTGAAACTCCACTTGCCATAAAAACTATTTACTATAAAGGCCTACATTTCCTTGAAGGAATGCATATCATTCACCACCTTTAATGTTAGACTTTTAAACTAAAATTAAAGAAATTAATAAAGAAGAGTTACATTTGCAATTTTGCTCAAACCTTGTTAATGATATGCATCATCTCATGCAAGATCTGTTCATGCTCCAAGTATGTATTGAGGACAACTCTCAGCGACTCCCACATCAAACATTATCTCATAATCGGTAAAACTGAGTTAGTCATTTTTTTGTGTTTGCTAAGGTTGATTAGCTGTGGTGAACATTAATTTGTGGTGACTCCAAAAAGTAATCAGTTATAATATACACCTACTGATTACTTTCTGGGAGTTTCATTGAGATCTGTTCAACGTTTCACAAGATATTTTGTCAATAGATACACCAAGTTAATAAAGCAACCAAGCAATAATAAATTACAAAAGTTTAAGAAGATGTCTTGCATGATTAGTCAGCTCTATTTGTACAAGTTTGAGATGATGCTCGGCTATTACCAGACCAAATATTTGCTCAATATCTGTAAAACTGGGGGCGTTATAGTATTTTATTTGTGTTGGCTAAGGTCAAATGTGGTGGTCATTTTAAATTAGGTTAACACCAAAAATAAATTTGTTGTTGATGTTCATCCAGTAAGAGTTTGGATAAAATCTAACCAGCGACTCATGAGATAGTTTGCTAACAGACATAGATAAACATTTGCACAAAGACATGAACAAAAGTATTCCCACCCTTCTGGCTTTGAATGTCAGCAATATTTAACCAGAGTGGGTTTTCTACTATATACATATTTCAAACTATAAAAGATTAAAAAAAAAAAAAATGCATAGTAATCCTTAACAATACAAGAATCTGTCCTCTGAAAGTTGGCCTTTTGGAAATCAAAGTTACCTTTTACTGACTCAAAGAACAACATTTACAGAAACTGCAAATATTCCGTCACTCACGTGCTTCCATTCATTCCCATGTGTTCCTGCTCCTGCTCCAAACCCTGGTTCCAGATCAGAATCTGGTGCCTTCATCTCTCTGTAGGCCTGATCAAACCCCGCCAGCCTGCGCCTCTCCTTCAGCTCGTTCTTCAGCGAGCTGCTCAGGTCATTGCTTATGGGTAGGCTGTGGAGAGACCGCCATGGGGAGATGCTTCTCTGAACCTGAGAGAAGCTGTGGTTTGTCAGGGAGCGCACTCGACGTCGGCTCTCCACAGGTCCACCGGCACCTCCGTTCCTGCTACTGTTGCCATAGCTCATCTTAGGTGGCTGTAAAACAGACACATACTACACGCACACATACATTGACACACCAGTTTTAGCTCTGAACTTATTTGTTTTGATCAAAGCACATTGATTAAATCAAAGAAGTCTCTCTTACTCTGTGTCTATCCATCCTGGTGACAACATCAAGGTTTGTTGAGTCAGAGATCCCTCCATGGACAACCAGCACCTTGTGGTTGATCACTGTGGCCACAGGAAGCCAGCTGAAGATCTTCTGAAGAAGCTTTAAAATCTTCTTCCCATGAACCTAAAGGCAAGTTAGAGGACATATGAGCCCCCCACCCCACCGCTAATAAACCTAAATGCTTATACAGTCTGATCCATACCCTGTATTTCCCCAGAACTTCTTTTGTGAAACCATATCTAAAAAAAACGCACATAATTACCATGTTGGTATTGATTGTTATTTTATACAAAGTTGGTGTGATGATCTATCAATTGTTTAAACAGTATGTTTGTTTAAAATCAGATAGGGTTGTGTTTAAAATGAGACAACTTGTAATGTTTTTAATATATGCCCTTTTTACATATTTTTGCAAAAGCTGATATTCAAGTAGCAAATGCCTGGTAGAATATCTTGAACTAATTTGGTTAACTTGATAACATAAGAAAAGTTTTTCAGAAAAAAAACAAAAATGTCTTAATCTAAAACTGAAATGATTTGGGAGATCTTATGAGCTAACCTAAAATCTTTAAAATGGTACAACTCTTCAAAAAGGCCAACACACGCTGAATGGCAGCCATCTTGAATCAGGTTGACTTCAAACATCAAGGAGGATGTAGATGTACACCCATTAAACACTTTTTTGGAGAAAGATCTCTGCAGATCATCTCACCTCAGGTTAACAATATGGTCTTCGTGGTTCCCTCGGTTCAGATGCACATCATTGGGGTAAACAAGCAGGAAACCAAACAAGGTGAGCAGAATCTCCAAAGAGTTCTTGCCACGATCCACAAAGTCGCCGTTGAAGACATACGGTTTCTCACACGATGGTAAACCATTCTGGGTATTTGAAAATCAAAGGGTTTAATTTAAAGTGAACATCTTGAACGACCTAATGACTTATATGTTTTAAATACCTTATAGAATATCAACAGCAGGTCTTCCAACTGCCCGTGCAAGTCTCCTACAAAGACAAAAAAAGTGCTTAAAGCATCATATGATCTGTTTTAGGGGTAACAAAAGATACAAAAAATTGGAGTGAAACAATTCTAAGAATGGTTTTCTGCAAAGTACCACAAACAGTAATCTCCTTGGTATGGCAGACAGAGACACGATTGATGCTTGGAAGAAATCGTAAAAGTCTCCAAGTCTCTCCAAGAATCTGCAGAACATACCGAGCGTGGAGCTGCTACTGGGAGAAAAACAAGTATAAATAGACTAGGGGCAGAATTTTTTTTTTCGTTTGTCAACCCAGCTACAGATTTCTATCACGTGGATGATGGTGCACCTACTTGTTTCTGCTTAAAAGCCTCCATAAGCTTTGACACCCCACAGAAGGTCATTGGGAAGGTTAGATGGGGACCGGAGTAGCTTTCAGACACCTCAACGCCCTTGTAACAAAAATATCTTTCCCACTCGGTCTCGTGACAGATTTCATTCTCACGAAAAATGTGAGATATTATGTTTCCTTCATTAAAAACAAAAACAGAGGCAGAGATGAGACCATGGATGCTCCAACAGTGACTCAAACACAGAATATTAGGAAAAAGTTATCTTACGCTCACTACTGGCTGGAGTAAAATGATCCATCAAGAAGGCAAAAAAGTTGTATAGCTGCAAGGAGAAAAAACACATCTTTAAAATGATGAATGTTTTGCTTTATTGTAGATTAAATGACAATGTATAGAAACAGCTAATTTAGATATCAGTTTTCAGTCTTTAATGATAAACCAAAGATTTGGACCCAGTGAAAATTTGACCATTTGATTATGTCTAAAACATTAAGTTGTCTAAAGCCAAGTTATTACAGTGGGTTTGTTGGTAAATGTTATTGGAAACCCCCATAAATTCACCAATAAAAGCTTTAAAGCAACACTTTGATGTATGCTGTTTCAAAGTTTTGTCCATATGGGTGAGTAGTGGCACAGAGGTTAGAGAAGGTGGGCCTGTGATCGGAAGATCGCCAGTTCAAACCCTGGTACCGACAACATCAAAAATGTGGGTGGGGTAGGTGGAACGCCCACACCTGCCACCACCCTAATTCGCTCTACCCTGTGCCCATGAGCAAGCCCTTAACCCCCATCTGCTCCCTGAACAGGTCTCTCTTGAATATGAGTTATCGTGGCTCAATGAGACTACCTGGATAAATTAAGGATAAATGAATATATATATCTGTCAAATCCATATCCAGCCTTGACAGACAGATATATTTCTTTGCACTCTTGTGCAAAAAAAAGAGGAAAAAATCCACATTGGTCACTTTAACAACTTAAACTGGCACAAGTAATAAATGTAAAAAATACTAAAAAGGAACAAATAAAACTCAGTCATTGCTTTTCTGCAGACCTATCTTTTAAACAAACTAATAAAACTGACCTTGACAATAAGGATGATATCTTAACTTAATATCCTGCTGCACAATTTTTGAGGCAACAACTGTAATCAAGTAATTTCTGTCACTCTGATCCTTCTGCACTTGTCCACAGACACAGTATGTTGGCTACCTGCTGGTGAGCAAACTGCTTTGGCTGTCTTATGTTTACTACTTCCACAGATGTTCAGCAGGATTTATGGTCCAGAAGGCCTCTTCAGAGTAGTCCAATGTTTGGTTCTGATCCATTCTGATCCATTCTGATGGTTTAAGCTGTGTGTTTTGAGTCATTATTATGTTGGAGGACCCATGACCTGTGACTTAGTCCAAGCTTTTTGCCACTGAGCTGCACATTTTGCTCCTGAATGCCTTGATAGTCTTGATATTTCATTGTAACCTGCACAGATTCAAGACTCCTTGTGGCAGAAGCAGCAAAGCAGGCCCAGAACAAAACTGAGTCCTCCATTAAAACTATAGGTTTCTTCTTGCTTCCTTGTGTGTTTCTATTTTAGCTCAGTGAACAGAATTGACAGGACTTGTTGCCAAACAGCTCCAGTTTTGTCTCAGCTGTCTAAAGGAGATTCTCTCAGAGGGATTGTGGCTTCTCAATATGTATTTTGGCAAATTAGTCTTGCTTTTCATGATTTAGTGTCCTCCTTGGTAGTCTTCCAATAATTCTACTTTGGCTCAAACAGCAACAGACACAAGTCTGACACGGATGTATCTTGAACTTGGAGTTTACATCTAATCTTTTTGGAATTGTTCTGGGCTCTATGGTTACAATTTATTTTGTCCATCTCTTCAATTTGTCTGCAGTTTGTTGTATTATTCTTGCAGCTTTGTCCGTGGATTTTAAACTTCTGAATAATCTGTGCAGCTCTAGTTTCAGGAACATCAAGCTGATTGAAAATGGTCTTATAGCCTTTATCTTTAACATTCTGCTCAATATTCTTTAGATAGAGATCTTTACTAACTGGCTTTTCTATGTATGTGAATGTTCCCGTGAAGTGCCCTGAGACAACTTTGGTGTGATTTGGCACTATATAAACAGCACAGTGACTACTTTTTATGTTTAACATCCCCCTAGGGTCAAATTATTGTATTTTTCTGGGGGTGCTATCCTTTATGTCAAGTCCAGTTTCATCTTTTTTTGTTTGTTTTTTATTCTGTAGAATCAATTTTCAAACACAGTGACTGAATTACATTAGGTGTATTTTAGTATTTTGTTTGTTTATGTTATTACTTTTGTCAGTTTGAGGGATTTTTCTTATCTTATTACACACAAACGAATCTGCTTCAGTACAATCTGTTCAGCTTTTTGACCTCACCTTTATCTGATTTTGTTCTCCTGCATATTCAATAGACTGGAAAATGTTCCAGGTGCACCTGCGTCTCACCTCCAGCCGAGCTACATATTGTCGATACCAGCGCTGGATCAACAGAGCTGCTCTGATTGCTGAGAAGAAGAAAAGAATAGAAGAACTTGATCCCAACTGGACTGGTTCTAATCAAATTTAACTTAGAAAGTGCCTCAGGTCTAACTGGGTACATGACCTCCTGTGGGTTCATTAGCTTTAGGACTCTACAGGGATTGAAGAGGCCTTTGAGTCACAATGAAACCTCTTTAAGAGCTAGAGAGTGTCCAAGTGCTTTATTTTTTCTTAAAAATTACTTAAACTCTACAAAACTGATAATTTATGTTATCCTCTGCAACTAATCTCATTTGAAATATCTGATGTAGTCTGAAGGACTTACCTGTAGCAGCTTCACGAGTTGCATGAAGTTCGAGTTTAGATTGCAGACGTGATCAAACAGAAATAAAAAATTTGTCATGAGTCTAGACACAAATTATATCAGGTTCAAACTTTGGTGAAATAAAATAAATAAAAAAAATACCTGGGACTGAGATGCTCACTGGAAATGATAAAAAAGAAACAAAATAAATGTTAAAGCAATGCAACAAAATGTGAGCATTTAATAATTCATGTAAATACTTCACCTCTGTCACATTTTTCTGGATGAGGTCTGGATTTTCCCACGCCACATCCCATGACCCTCTGCTGTTTTCTTTGTGAGAAACAATTGGGCACATTAATGTGTGAGACTCAGATATGTGACCTTGTAATTTGCATCTATTTGGAGTAAAATATCTGCACACAAAGTAACAAAATATTCTGTTATGTTTCCCCATCTTTTTACACGCCTGATATACGAAACTTCAATAACAAGACATGAACAACATAATTAACTTAAATATTTGTAATTTATTTAGAAAATAATCTTACTCATGTATAGAAAACATTGTTTACATGCTTGACAAAAATAAAAGATACTCACCCGTCATTTGTTATTTCTCCAGCATTTTAAAAGATGTATTTTAATTGTATGATAATCTTTCTTGCAGCTTAAATAAGTCAAAGTTATGAATTATCTCTTTAAGTTGTCCATCTCTTCTGCAGGGTTCAGTGGTTGTAACTCTCTACAACTGTCTTGAACAGGCTCATTTGATCACTCACTCAAAACAAGATGCAAGTGGATTAGGATTAAATCTTACTACAGCTTGCATCTGAACCGAATAAACAGATGAGGGCTCTGTTAAAGGGCAGCACACTTTATAAAGGGATAGTAAGATCCTCCGATAAAGACTAAACCCCCACAATGTCTTATATGACAACTTTTAGTAATTTGATTAAGACAGAAGGCATTAATTGTCTATTAGTCAAGTCAAGTCAACTTTATTTATTTATATTTATAGAGCACATTTAAAATTACACCTATTTTATTTATAATAAAGAAGTCATAAAAATATATTTACACATCCAGCTACTGTCAAACAAGATTTAACTCAAAATCTGTTTGACTGAGTTGCAGCCTTTTAATTAATTAATTTAATTATTTATTTTGGCCAATGCCATTTAGCAGTGGTTGCCATTTTGGGGAGTGAATTGGGGGTATATCCAGATATTAGTGGGTTTTAGATGTACAGCTAATAATTACTTTTTGATCATTTCACTCAAATTTGTTCAGAGATACTTGAGTTTTTTCTTTTTTTTTTTGCTGAATGTCAGTGTTGACTCTAAAAGTTTATTCCAAAGTTTTAGTTCAAGACATTGTGCAACAAGTATGTGTTGTGAATGACTCTCAACTACTACCACACCAAATTTTAGAACAATTTCTGTAAAACAGACTGAGTTATAGCCATTGTTGTGTTCCTAACATTGATTAGATGTTCAACTGTAGTTGTACACATTACTTTCTGAGAAGCTCATTAAAATCCTAACAGTGGTTTATGAGATATTTTGCTAACGCTAGAGACAAATGAACACAAATGTGAACAAAAACATTATTTTCTTTTTGCGTTTGGTAGCAGGCAATAATGAGCTGAACATTCTTTTTTATCATCAATGATAGAATGAGATCAAACTACTTTTACCTTGTAAATTGTTTCTCTTTTCAAACTTGTTTAATATTTGCAACTCTTACATTTTTCAGCCCTTATATTGTGCTGATGATGAAAAGTGCCACCTTTAAAACTCCCCTCATGTATGTGTTGAAATACGTGAGGAGTGTTCTCTGCCAATTCTAATATCGTTTAAATTACTCATCAGACCATAACGACTGTGATCCCAGATAACTGCACCTGGCAGCGATTTGGTGGGAGACGTCTGCTGCTCAAGGACTCAGCTCGTTCCCGAATGGTTGCTAGAGGACCAAAGCTGCACAATTCTACAGTGATCGCAATCTGTGTGTGTGTGTGTTTGTTTATGTTATATTTGGGGACTTAAACCAGCTTACACACCAGTAATTTGGGGATACCTTGGCAACTGGGGACTAAGAAGTTGAACACGCCCCTGTGTGTGTGTGTGGTGGGGGAGGGGTGGGGGAGAGCTGTGTTTGTGTGTGTGTGGGGGGGGTGCATGTGTGTGTGTGCGTGTGTCTAAATGTATGTCGGTATCGAACTAATGATCATAGAATGCATCTTTTTCCAAGTTTCATGGACAAATGTAACAACACATACCTTCTATCCCTCCATATCTTCTTCCTGTCTTTATTGTACAACAGTGTTTGTCTTCTCTAATGTGAAATGTTGTTTATTTGTAGGCTGATGAGAGTACATAGAAGAATTAAATAATTTTCCATCTGAATAAAAAAAGTATGACACACAATAAACTGCAAATGTATGGCACCTATGATGCAACACAAGTGGCACAAAGCCATCCAAAGATGGGGACAGGTTAATAAAGATAACTCAGACATTATGAAGTGGGTTCATGGAGAAAAGTTATTACCAGACATCCTATAGATTCATTCAACCTTTATTTATACAGGTTAATTCCATTGAGCCTCAGTGACTCATTTATAAGAGAGACCTGAATTTTAACAAAGAATTATGACAAAAATGGACAATCATAAAGGATGCACACAAATTTATTTTTTTAACAAGTGAAAATAAAATGATAATTAAAAAGGATAATTAAAAGGAAAAGTAGTGAAAAAGAGCTAGATTGTAAGGCAGTGTAGTATACCAAAAACAGGAACATGCTCTTTGAATGACCTCAGTTTGATGAGATAACAGCTAGCAAAGACATCCGGATGCATACTCAATAATCCAAGTAGAAAAATCCAACAAAGTTCAGTCAGGTCCTCTTGACAGATTAAAAATAAATAAATAAATAATTTGTTGAAACGTTTTGTCTTTAATTCAAGACTTTGTCTGTCTGAAGAGCTGCAATAAATTCAGTCTTATAAATAACCCCTTGGATAAACCAGTTTGTTGTTGACAGCCAAAAATAGCTGTTCACATGATAAAGGAGGACCATGAGCCTAACAATCAATCATTAGAACCTTGATGGACACTTACTATTCACAGAGGGCTGAGTGATACTAGCAATAACAGCATTGTAAGAAGATGACAAATGGACATGGAGGCCCGTGCCCCAGTAGGGCTGAGTGTTCCTAGCAATAACAGCATTGCAAGAAGGTGACAATTAGACATGGAGGCCTGTTCCCCTGTTTAATGACTGTAGCAAAGACCAAAAATATCTGCTTTTGTAAAACAACTTCAATTTTAATGTATTACATTGTACTTCGTGTGTACACCTTTTTGTAAACCTTTACATTGTCAACAGTTTCAGTTTACTTGGTTAAAGACTTCTGTTCGCTAATGAAAATGGAAGAAAGAGCTGGATAGAACACTTCTGGTGCAGCCTGAGGCAGTTCCATCTAAAAAATATAACTTTGCAAAGTCTATTAGGAAATTTTAGCAAATTTGAGTTGTTTTCATTTGGCAAAACTTCAAAACTTCAGATCTCCCAAATGTCTAAGACATGCATGCAAGTTCTCATTTACAAACCTTTAGACCTCAGTCAATTTCAAATTAAGTAAAGTAAAGTAAAGTAAAGTAAAGTGCTATGTGTTGTCATCGTTGTATGTTCCTAAACAATGACAAAATTGGATCTCTGCATTTAACCCATCACATGTGAGATACACCCAAGTGGAGCAGTGGTGACCAGCCAGGAAGCACCCAGGAAACACAAAGTGGAACAAAACTTGTACTCAGGGTCCCAGTTACACCCAAAAATAGCACATTAACCAAAGATTGTGTAATAAATACGTTTAATGAAAAACTGACAGAAGTTCAACAGTTCATGAAATACCATTAGCAAGAACCACTTTGGACTGTCAACTTTCTCCTGTTCAACTTATTTATTTATTTATTTATTTTCAAACTGAGGCCACAAAAACCTACTTTAAAAAGTCTAAATTACCCCTCTTATAACCCCTGTATAATTTCAGGTAATAAAGAAAATTTATTGCAGAAAGTTATGTTGTTTTGGAGAAGCTGGAACGTGCAAAACAAGTTGCAGGAGCCACGTTCATCACACATTGGACCAATTTTCAGATGAAGATCCTCTCATCTGAGTCTTGTCACCGGGGTTAGGAGAGGACAAGCAAGAATGAACAAAAGACGCTGCAGGGAAATTCTCCAGAAGTATAAATCTAAGGAACAAGACTCCAAAACAACAGACAGGAAGAGAAACTGTGCAGAATTGACTCTGGTAGAAGATGCTCAGAGAAGAGAAGATAAAAATAATGAAGTAAAATAAAGATAAAATAATTGTATACACAGGAGAAGATGATAACTGTCATATAAACATGATTTATTTAAAGGCAAAAAGCAAAACAAACTGGAATAAACATTGAAATCATGAGAAAAATAAGGAATGAAGCAGACCAAGTTGGATAAAAACTGTTCATGAACTATAACATGAATATGGCTGACTATTATACAAAACAAGAAAATTAAGAAAATACAGAAGTTTTCAAACAAAAAAGCAAAAACAATGGAAACCCCAAAACATATAAAATAAAACTACATGTTTGTTGGCCCTTTTTTCATAAACTTGTTTGAGTGTAAAGAAGTTTTTGGAGTTAAAACCATGAATGATAACTGATTCAATTTGCAGCACAGTGCATAAATATTTCACCTGTAAAATTTGTCCTGGGTCTTCCTTGGGGTCTTCTCCTAGTCAAACATGCCTGAAGCACCTCCCTAGGGAGGTGCCCAGGAAGCATCCTTACCATATGCCTGATCTACCTCAGCTGGCTCCTCTCAATGTGGAGGAGCAACGTTTCTACTCCGAGTCTCTCCCAGATAACTTCACCCTATCGCTAAGGGAGAGTCCAGCTAACCTGCAGATGAAACTCATTTCAACCATCTGTATCCACGAGCTTGTTCTTTCAGTCACTAAAATGTCCCTCGGTTGGACTGGCAACACAGTGAAATCCTCTCAGAACAGCTGGAAGTGGTGGCTGGTGAAGAGATGTCTGGGCCTCCCTGCTCAAGCTGCTGTGACCTGACTTTGGAACAAGTGGAAGATATTGGATGGATAGATCTTAAGAAGAGAACATCCAGTGCTGTACCACAACTCTAGCTCATCCATGGTTACAATTTTCATTTTACAATTTTCAGATGACTGTGGAACCATGGAAATGTCCTGTCTTTATACAGCTCAAGAAGGAGACAGGTTTTGTGTTCCTGAAATGAAAA